TAATCTCTAAAGCTGTAAGAGCCAATTATTTAATATAAATTAATATATTTAATTAATTTGATATCTAAATCAAATATTAAATTTAATAATTAATTCTGAAAATATATTTATTAAAGTATAATATTTTTAAAATTAAAACTATAATTATTTTAAAAATTTAAAAACTGATATGTATTATACACTATATATATATATGGAATTTGAGATGGCACGGGATTGGGCCTGGTTTCATATAAGGTTTTCGTATGCTTGAATTGGGCCAGAATTCTGACCCACAATTAAATCCAATCCAAGACCCAATTCCATACAGTAATCGTCTTTCCGGGTTCTGGTCCGGTCCACCGCGGCTCCGTCATGATGGGGTCGCCATCACTCACCAGCAACTTCAACAGAACCCTCTCTTTTCCCTCCGTCGTTTCCCGCCAAATCCTCTCCCACCTCATCTTCTTCTCCTTCGTTTAGCAGTCATTCGGTAAAATTCTGACAATAAACTCATGATTGCCGCTGCCTCGCCGAATGCCTTGTCCCTGCATGCTTTCCGGCGAAATCCAATCTCGTTCAGGTAAAAGCTTTTGGAGGAGTGTACATTTCTTTGTACCGCCACTGAGGAAGAGAAGTTGACTCGCCGTTCCCATCTCAATTTTCCAATTGTAAGTTTCGTCACAATTTCTTTACACATATGTTCGTAATTGACTGAAGACCGATGACTAGTATGTCATTTTACATTTTTTTATTAATTAATGGAATTTTCTAAGGGTGCACTGATTTTTTATTTTTTTGTAACTTTTCATTATTAATTTACATAAAAAATACATAAAAGTTGACTCTAGTCTAGTTTTATTAATGATCCAATTAAATAAATTCGCGTAGCCTTTGTTAAGCTTGGAGTGGGTGGCTTTGGACCAATTTATAAGGTAAAATAAATCATGAGTCAGGTCATTTGCTGAGCAGAAAGAAAAAAAAGAAAAAGAAAAAAAAGTCAGAAAGGCATTAATACTTTAATAGGGCAAAATAATTTCAGGGAATATTATATGATGGGCAAGAAGCAGCAATAAAGAGACTCTCAGGAAGTTCAGGGCAAGGACTGGCGGAGTTCAAGAATGAAGCAATACTGATTGCAAAGCTCCAGCGCACTAATCTTGTGAGGCTTCTAGGCTTTTGCATTCAAGGAGAAGAAAATATATCAATCTATAAGTATATGCCAAATAAAAGCTTGGACTCCTTTCTCTTTGGTAAGCTTTCCTTATCAACTCTAAAATTTCTGCTTAATCATTTGAGATGTGTCCATTGCCTTTGACTTGTCTTGCTTGTTGAAATTCTTGCAATTCTTTTTGGCCAAAAGATCCAGTTAAGAAGAAAATATTGAATTGGAAGAGGCGTTTTATCATGTTTGAAGGGATTGCTCAAGTTCTCCTTTTAAGTATTCCAGATTGAGAGTCATACATAGAGACTTAAAGGCCAGCAACATTTTGCTTGATGATGAGATGAATCCAAAAATATCTGAGTTGGGATGGCTAGAATATTTGGAGTCAATGAATCTAAAGCAAATACAAATAGAGTTGTTGGAACATAGTAAGTATTCGTACTAGCTCAGCAACCAACCACAAAATAGTTATTATTATTATTATTTTTAATCAGCAAAGACAACACAATATGGTTATGTGTTTGTGCTTCTGTGTTTGCTGATTGTGCGTGTTTTTGCCTTCAAATAAATGCATTTGATTATTTCTCCAGTGGTTATATGTCCTGGGAATTTGCTTTCCATGGGCTTGTTTCAATCAAAACTGGTGTATTTAGCTTTGGAGTTCAGCTGCTGGAGCTTGTAAGTGGCGGGAAGAATACGAGCTGCTATCTTTGTTCGTTTTGTAGGCTTGGGGAAATATTAAAGATTTGAGTTAAAATAGTACCATGCTCTTTGTACAAGCAATATAGCCTTGGTTTTCTTTGTGTGTGCCACACAATTTCTATCAGACCTGGTAGCTATGGATTCAAGGGGGAGGCTTAGAGTTAATGGATGCTACTATGGATGAATTTTGCCCTCATAATCAAATATTAAGATGCATACATAATTACATATTGGCCTCTTGTGCGTGTAAGACCATGTGCCATGGATAGACCCACTATGTCAGAAGCTGTTTCAATGCTTTCAAATGAGACAATGTCGCTGCCAGAGCCAAAACAACCAGCATTTTTCATCACCGCTACTATTGTAAAAGAAGCAGGTATTCCTGAAATCAAGTCAGAGAAGTGTTCCATAAATTATGTGTCAGTTACTGTGATGGAAGCTGGATGATTGTTCATGGACATGCAGAATGCTTATAAGGAAGGTTAAACCCCAATTTGGCCCCTCAACTATTGTACAGACCACTAATTTGATCTATACTATTTACTAATTTAGTTCCAAGTTGGTCATTTCCTTAAAAAATAGCTGACGTATCCATTATTTGAAGGTAGAAAACCATTACTTGACTATCATGTGTCATATTAATAATGAGATACATCATCTGTTTGTGTACGAAAGAACCAATTTGGGGTTAAATTGGTAAAATAATAGGAACCAAATAAGGGAATTTTTTAGTTTAGAGACCAAATTAAAGGTCCATACAATAGTTGAGGGACCAAACTGGAGATTTAACCTATAAGAAATATGCACATGATTATGATTGGGACAACTATGATTTAGTAGCTAGAATTTCTTTCCTGCCTTTTGCTCAGAAAAATAAAAAGTTGCCGAGAAACTTTTTCTTAAAATTGATTAAGGTGATCTATTTAGGGGATACAAAAGCAAACCGGAAAATGCAAATGAACTTGATAGCAGGGTAGTGCCTTCATTGTCACCACTAGGAGCACAACGTTAATTTGGTAGGATGGTCAAGGTGCATGCTATTTTGCCATTTCTTTGCTATCAAATGAAATGCTGTACATGACTTAACCAGTAAATGTTGTGGAAGCTTGCAAGTATATCTTTTTTGTAAGTTATCAAGTGCAATATTCACTGGCTGTGAAGTTTGGATAGTAACCATATCATATGCAGACTTACTTCCAGAAGTACATTGCATCTTTTTCTGAGGCTAGCTTGCTAATCAAATTCCTACTTAATTCATTGTGTTAAGATGTTTAAGGTAGAAAGATGCGTGTCAATTAATTGGCTATGGAACAAATGGTAAATAAGGTTAACCAGTGGAATTGGAGGATTAATGGTTCATAACCTCTTTGTGATCCGTCTGCTACATCATTTCGAAATAGCTGCACATCAAATGGTCGGTCAATTTTCTTAATCTACAACATGCCCATATATATTTTTTAATAGTCTGGGGACATTACAGTTTGTGTGCAGCTCAGAACGAATCTCTCTATTTCTGTCAAATGTAGATCATTTATGATGGAAATTTAGAAATTCATTACTCATGAGGAATTAACAAACTCTTCCTACGCAAGGTACCACTCCTTTGAGTACAACATGCACCTAATTTTCAGTTGTAAAATTCGGGATTTTATTTGCTATCATTAGGATTCCAACAATTGATGTATTTTGTGCAAATTTCTTTCCTTGAAATTCGATTAATTAGGATTTTTTAGGGGATGGAAAAGAAAAAGTGCTGAATCAATGTAATTAACTACAGGGCAGAATCATGGAACTGATTGACAATTCCATTTTTGGTAGTTTATAAATTTGGCAGGTGAGGATTGGGAAAGATGCAACTACCACTATTGCAGGTAATAAATATTTAGACTAAAAATTTGATCCGTATAACAAAAAATTCAGTCTGAAAAAACATATCCACACCGATCTCGATCCGTATGGTTGAACTGAAAAACCCTGGTATGAAAAAATAAAATATATAGACTGACAAAAAATCAGTCTGTAAATTAAACTATTCACACCGAAACTGGACCTACAATTTAGTAAAAAAAATTCAAGGGGCGAGTATAAAATTGAAATTTAAGGACCGTTAACGGTCCAGATATTAAGAATATAATAAATAATTTAATAATTACAGAAAATATATTCTGACCGATATCGGTCTGAATACATACATACCTTTTGTAAAAACGAAAGCAACGAGAACTATATTCAGATTGATTACGGTCTGAATATATTGGACTTGGATGTAAATTGTGAAATATCTGCTGCCATACTGTCATGACAACGAAATTATATACGGACCGATCACGGTCTGTATAAAAAGGACTCAGATGTAAATCCTGAAATATTTGGTGCCATATTGTCGTGACCTCGAAAAGTATTTCCGGACCAATAATGGTCCATATAAAAAGGACTCAGATGTAAATGTTGAAATATTTGTTGCCATATTGTCGTGCCGTTGAAACTATATACGGATTGATAACGGTCCGTATAAAAAGGACTCAGATGTAAATGCTGAAATATTTGCTGTCATATTGTCGTGATCTCGAAACTATATCCGGACTGTTTTTGATCCGCATTTAAAGTTAAAACAAATTAAAAAAAAGCAATAAAAGAAGAATATTTATTTTTCTTCTTATTTACAAAATATTTCAATATTAAATTTTACTAATGAAATATTAAATATATCTATGAATTTAAATATATGTATATATAGATAAATTAATTTTATAGTAATTATTTAATATAGTATCTTTAAACATATATAATATTAATTACATTATATTAAAATTATAAAATAAATTTTAAGTACAATATAATATTAGTAAGTTTAAAAATATCAACAATGATAATTATAATTGTAAATAAACAATTATGTATAAAATATAAGTAAAAATTAAAGAATATAATATACAAATTATAAGAAAATAAAAAAAAAAGTTTATTAAGTCATTACCTATAATTCATTTACTTGAAATTTTATCCATTTCCTACAAAAGAAAAATAAACCAAATAAGTATAAATATAAAATAATATTAAAATAAATAGAAATATAAGAGAAAATTTACCAAATCCTTACAGTATGAAACCTACAAAAAAGAAAAAAAAAAGAAGAAGAAGTTAGTAAACAAAATATAAATAATAAAACTATACCAAAATCAAAGACTTATTATGGATAAAAAGAAGTTAGTAAACAAAACATATTGTGGATAAAAAAAAAAAAAGAGAGTGGAATAAAAAAGATTGGAAAAAACAGAAAAATTAAAGGAAAAAAAAATGTGAAAGAGAGGGGAAGAGTAAGAGGAGTAAGAAAAAGAGAAAGGAGAAAGAATATTATGCAGTGTAGAGAAAGAAGAGAGGAAAAAGAGAGGAAGACTAAGAAAAAAGGAGAAAGAATAAAAGGAATAGAGAAAGGAAATGAGAAAGAAGAGAAACGGAAAAGATGAAGAAGAAAAAGAAAGAGAAGAAGAAGAGAAAATGAGGAAAAGAATGAGAGGGAGCTGGTTATATAAAGGTTTTATACAGACTGAAACTGGTTCGAATATACCAAAACAAGTGCTACATTACCGCCAGCGGATAGCTTCAATTTTGTTGAAAATTTAGGTGGCAAACATTTATAGATCGACATCGGTCCGCAAATTACCAAAAAGTTTAATTCACAGCGAAATTTTGGCAGCAAACTATACGAATCGAAAATAGTCCGTAAATAAATAATGAAGCGCCAATCCTAAAAAGTTTAATTTTCAGTGAAATTATTTAGAGGCAAAACCTAATTGGTTATATTCGGACCGTTATCAGTATATATATAAATATATATAAGTGTTAATTATAAAGATGAATTAAGTTATGTATTTTATATACCGCTCACATTTATTCAGATTGTTGTTGGTCTGAATATATTAAAAAAAATCCAGAAACTTCTCCTTGGCACCTTTTTATTCTTTTCATTTAAGGACATCACTATCTTCTCGTGCCTCAAATCCGTTCTTAAGAAAACCAATTGCGTGAACATCGATACTACAGTCTCTTGGAACCCCAAAACTATCGATTCCTTGCTTGAAATTATCTAATGATGATGTAGGATAGAATCGTTGTAAAACTTTGAATGTATAAGTAGAAGGTTATTAAATATAAGGTTACGTATTGTTCTTTCGGAGCCACAAGCAAGTAAAATTGATTTTTTTAGGTAAGGTTAACCACTTTAGCAGGCAAACATTCAAAATGTTATGGTTGAAAATGAGAGTATAACAAATTGAGCATGAGATAAGGAAAACAATGAAAAAGCTGTAGGTGGGTATATATTGGGACCAAACTCGGTCCGTATATATGTTTGTATGGTTTTTTTTTTTTTTTTAATTATAAAGATAAATTAAATTTGGTGTAAAGATATATACGGACCGGTTTTGGTCGGAATATAGGCATAGCATCCAGAAGCTTCCATGCTTTTGATTTTTCAGACCGTTTTTGGTCTAACTATGTTGCAAAAAATCCAAAAACTTCTCCCTGTGCAGCTTTTTATTCTTTTCATTAAGGACATCACCATCTTCCCGTGCCTCAAATCCGTTCTCAAGAAAACCAATTGCGTCAATATCAACTTTACAGTCTCCTAGAACCTTGAAACCATCGATTCCTTACTTGAAATTATCTAACGATGATGCGGAATAGAATCGTTGTAAAACCTTGAATGTATAAGTATAAGGTTATTAGATATAAGGTTATGTAATGTTTTTTTGGAGCCACAAGCAAGTAAAATTGATTTTTTTTTGTAAGGTTAACCACTTTGGCACGCAAACATTCATAATGTTATGGTTGAAAACGAGAGTATAACGAATTGAGCATGAGATAAAGAAAACAATGAAAAAGCTGTAGGTGGGTATATATTGGGACCAATCTCAGTCCGTATAATGATATACGGACCAGTATCGGTCTGTATATCAACTGTAAAAAATCAAGGCCTGTTAAGCCGACTGTAAAATTTTTACAGTTGGCTCAATCCAAAAAAACAGAATGTTCGAGGCAGTGCAACACCAGTCGGCTTTCATTCCTCAGCCTACTCAACCCAAACATACGGACCAATATCGGTCTGTATATATAACTGTTAATATATATGGATCGGTATCGGTCTGTATAAACATGGAGACCCAACACAGACGTTTGTATCAGGTGAGTCGGCTAGGGAATGAAAGCTGGCTGGTGCTGGACTTCTTCGACATTCTGGTTTTGATATATACGGACCGGTATCGGTTCGTATATGCTTGTTTGGCACCAAACACTTAGCCATTTGTGTGTTTATTACGCATATACCACTGAGGCTCTGTGGTAAATACGGACCGATATCGGTCCATATATATTAACAATTATATATACAGACTGATATTGATCCATATATACTTTTTTGCGTTGAGCCGGCTAATGAATGAAAGCCAGCTGGTGCTGCACTGCCTCGAACATTTTGTTTTTTTGGACTGAGCCGGTTGTAAAAATTTTGCAGCTGGCTTAACAATCCTTGATTTTTTACAAGTTTTATATAGACTGGTATTGGTCTGTATATACTTATTTGAATCAATTGAGCCGACTGAGGAATGAAAGCCGGCTGGTGCTGCACTGCTTCGACATTTTGTTTTTTTTACTGGGCTGGTTATGGGTATTTTGTAGTCAACTTTGTTGGTTTTGATATATACTCGTCAGTGTATTCTTGTTTGGGCCACTAAACACCCAGCCATTTGTGTGTTTATTATTGTTGTTATACTAATTGAAACTAATCTATGTATAAGTATTTTATTTAATTCGATATTTCTTACATATAAAGGATTTAATTGATATTTAAATTAATATATTTGATAATGTAAATTTATTTTCACATAATTTATGATATTTATCATATAAAATGCTAGAAAATTTTGTTAATTTACTCTAAATATATAAGTCTCCAATGTTCACTATAAATATAAAGTAAATACAAATATTTAATTGAAATATAAAAAACCTAAATATCTCGGGGTGTCCTAGGGGTGACTGTCCCACTAGTATCCGCTGGGGTCATCCCTAAATGCTGATAGAGTTGCTGCATCTGTGCAACAAGGGTCATCTGTTGCTGCCACAGGCTCTCATTATCTGCCATAAGGGTCATCTGTGATTGTCGAAGGCTATTATTATCTGCCTTCAATGATTCAATAGTCTGCTCTAATTCGATAACCTTATTAGATTGTTCTATGATGAGTGGCCTGAATGGTTCCCGTCTAGATGTGCTCACACCTATATCCTGTGGATGTGTGTGAATATCCAAACCTTTCAACCATCCTTTCTTGACCCCACCAGTTGCCCTAAGTAATAACTTACCATGAACTATTGTAGGGTCAAATCCTTCTTCTTCTTGCCTAGCAGCATATTCAGGTGTCAATTTTTCTTGAAATAATATAAGATAAAATAAATAATTAATTGTATTGAAAATTAAAGTGTAATTTAAAATATCACTTTCGGCATCTAAATTCAATTTACTCTCTTCTAAAAGGATGGAGTTCTAACTTTTTACCAATAACTATATTGTACAATAATTTCAATATTATAACCAAAATAATTTCAATTAATTCATGACACAATTTAAAGTAAAATTGTTAAGTTAAATACTTATTCCAATTTCTTGAGCCTCATCATTACAATATATAGGCAGTTGGTCTTTTCCTTTTCCTTTGTGCTGCCTTCTACTGGTGTAGACCTCAGGAAATGTTGGTAGACGACCCTCGGGGGTTGCTTGTTGCTATAAAGAAAAAAAAGAAGAGAAAATATTAAAATCAATATAAAATAAATTATAAATCATAATTCATTAATTATTCATTAAAAATATGTTAATTTTTGTACTATTTTCTTTCTATAAACATTAACGTCCATTGAACCACTAGTATGCGTCACCCTTGGTCCTTTTGCTCGATTAGCCTTTGCAGAACTTGACCTTCTCAAATGACCCTCGTCTTGTAAAAGTGGTGAACACATAATTTTTTAATTAATAATATGATAAAAACATTAAACATTGCAATTGAAAATTAAAAAATAAATAATAATAAACACATGAATTTACTCAATTACCTCGGTCCATAAATAAACAAGCCTCGCCCATAACTCTGGATTCATATCTGGGGGCTTAACTTGAAAGTTTATCCTTGCACACTTAGCTTCCAACTCACTAAGTGTATTCTTGAACTTGATCTTTGTTGTCACGCTCCATAAATAATTTACAATCTTATCAATCACCGGATCTCATTCATATGTTTGTTGAAAATAATAGAAATATAAATACATAAATAATTTAATAACAAAAAAAATTCAAATTACTTAAAATTTAAAGATAGAAATTGAAAATATCTAATTTGTAGATAGAAATTAAGTGTTTAGGGCGTACACTGAATATATTCCAATACATGTCCCAATGCTCACGACGAACTTGTCCCCACTATGTGTAAGCATCTGGGAGATTCTCCTACAACTAGATCACAATCTATCGTCTGACCTGTTGTGGCAAACCTCCATACTCATCTAGCTCTAATGGGATCTTCATCTCATCTATAGGTATCTGCGCGAGCTTAGCTTGCCCTCGTCCCTGTCTCTGTTGGGGGTAGCCACAGGTGTATCCTCATCACTGGGAGACTCGGCCTGTATATCAGCATCTGAAGCTGGAGTCTCTAGAACCACATCAGTAGGAACCTCCTCCTGAACTCGTCTCTAGGGGTCAAATGGATTTGGCCATTGCAACGGTTGAGTGGATTCAACAGCCTTCGTGCAGCAAGAACTACAGCAATCCACTGTAAAAAAAAATATAACAAATGCGAAATAAATCATTAATACAAGTAATTTAAATGCAATAAATAAATTACTATTAATATCACAATAAAAATTAAAATAGTTATAATTTCTATAGATAAGCAAATAATAATCAAATTATATTTTAGTTGAATAACATACAATATAACTAATATAAATGAAAAAAATTATATAAATATTAACAAAAAAAATATAAAATTAATAATATGATAAAAACATAAACGTATACATTTTATTCCAACTAATACAATTATAGAAGTATAAATAAGTAAATGTTAACTTGAAAGTAATATTAACGTTATACAATTTTAAATTAAATAATATATAATACAACTAATATAATTATAAAAGTACAGACAAGTAAGTAGTAATCATAAATATAAGAATAAGTTTCAATAGTTTCAATAGTTTCAATATTATTGTCTACTCATCACTACTATCATTCTCCTCAACATATGTTTCTATGTTTTCTTCTTCTAATGTCTCAAAATCTTCCCATTCTCCTTCTTCATCCTCTTTAGACCTGGCAAAAATCCACCCGACCCGTCAACCCGACTTTAACCTGACCCTTAAAAAACGGGTTAGGGTCTACACATCTCAACCCGCAACCCGTAGATATCCCGTATTATCAACCCGTACGGGTTACGGGTCGGGTTAGGGTCAACCCGCGGGTTGACGGGTTGACCCGTTTGTTTTATTTTTTATTATTTTTTTAAAATATTATACTTATCATCCTTAATTAATTTTCCTATTGATAACTCGTTCCATTAATTAATACTCCCTAATTTCTAGAGAAAGAAGAAGAAATTATGATAAGTTTGATCTAATTACCCAAGTATTATTATTATTATTATTTTGGTATTAACAATTATCCAAATATCATGAATGAAATGATAATGCAACTAAAAATATTAAAAGATGTGATGTTAGGACATAAACATAATAACTTAGTGAAAGATGTTCTTGGAAGAGCAATTTCATCATTAAAAAAATGGATTAAACTACTTAATAATGTTT